GAAATAGCCTATATGAAAAAATAAGAACTAGACTGGTATAATAAGGAAGTAAATGTAGAATTTAAAAGTAAAACATAAAAAAAATTGATCTTGTAGAAAAAGAATGTTGAGTAACATTTAAAACTGGGCCATCAAGATACAATCAAACTGAACAATTAAGTCTAAAAATTATTCCAAACAGAATTGCTTTAACATTTTAAATTGTTTTGCCTTTGTTATATACATTTTACATTTTAATATTTCTGACAATTGGTTAACACTAACTATATACCAAAGCACAATAATAATATTTTCATGTTCTACTTAGATTAACATGTCAAATCATTGAAATATAAACACTGCTTTTAAAACATGGACATGTTTGTACTGCTCTAATTTTTTGTATTCTGTTAAAGTATCCTTTTAGAACATACATCAAATCTACAGTTGTTGGACATAATGCCTAAAAATATACTTGGGGATTTTTATGTGAAAAAAAATTTAATTATTATAATACAAATAGCATAGGAATTATGTGAAACATTGATACAATGTAGCAATTTCACTCCTTATAAAAGGTTTATTGCTCAATCAGCAAATGGTCATTCAAATTATTCATATTGGGTCCAGTAACTCTGAAGCTAGAGTTTCCATTGTATTGTGTGAAGCTAAATTATCAATATAATGTGGTAAATTAGTGATACAATGAACAAGCACATTTAACTACAAGTTGGTGTTGCTTCTAAACTGATTCTGTAGCAAATCCAAATGATAGTGAAATGGTATGTATAGTTATAAGTTGAGATAAAAAACTACAAGTATTGATCTTCTTTCCTTAGCTTGTTTCTCAAGTAACACAGCAGTGTTGGCCCCTTGATTTCATTCTATGAAAACTATAATCCAAAGAGTTTAGTGTAATTATTTTCCTTTAGAACAGAAGTGATGGAGCTTATGGTTACTTCTTTCCAGGGGAAAGTCTCATCCAATAATTTATGTTTGTTTCTTGCTCGTGTATACATCTAATTTTAGTACAGCTAGATCAGAGTTGAAGGTGGATTTAAGTGCTAGGAATCTGTCAACATCTATTTCTACAAACATTATGAAAAATAATGTTAAGATTTGCAAGTAAATGCTGACATATTTTGGTCTTCACTTTTGATCTACAGACTGATATGATTGACCTCAAATCTCAACCATTTACAAAACCTTCAGGATGCAAGTTTGTATTCATATCATCAAAGTAAAGTAAAAATATTACTTGTTACTAAATCAAGCTATATTTTCTGTATTCAATAAAAATAAATTTTAACCTCTTAAATGTTTGTTTATACAAATAATATAATAGTATCATAATACAAAATAAGTACTTTTTCAAGCTGAGGAATATTTAGTGAGATATTTTTCCTGCCTTTGAGAATGTTTACATCACTGCCCTAAAGAGATTCTACCTATACTATGTTAAGATTCAGTTACAAAATCTTATAATCTATTTATTCATAATGAATTTTGCATGCAATCTTTGAACAACCAAGTTTGTAAGAAAAGTAAGAGTCTAACAACATTCTGCTGATAAATCACACCACAGTGGAGTGTATTGAGGTATGAGAACAACTTGTGGGAGTCAATTCTTTGATTCCACCATGTGGATTCCATGGAAGGAACTCAGGTCTTTCTTCACAGTGGCAATTTGCTCTACCCAACGAGTCTTCTCTCCAGCCAAAGACACTTTTTTGTTTTTGTTGCAGATATTAAGTTTAATGTAGTTCTATTTTAAAACTTCCAAAGCTGAAGGAAGTATCTGATAAGTTATGAGGCTTATACTTATACATTTGAACTCTGTGATAAATTTTTGTAGAACAGGAAATTTCTGGTCAAATTCCTCTTTTCAGCAGCCTGAAGAAGGCATTCGACAACATGTCACTACATAGGGTCCTCTATAGTCTGAGATTCATAACCAACTCTCTTAAAATAAATTAAAAGTACAAAATTAATATTTAAATGATACAACGGTAAAATTTCGGACACTAAATTCAATGACATCACTTACTCACTTCTGAAAGTGAGTTAAAGCCCTCAGAGAATTAGGATTGTGCTTTCAAACAATTAATTCTTTACTTTGATCCCATCTTTCCAAATGAAACTAATAATTAGGTTCTCTGATCTCTCTATCAATAATATTTTTTCTGATTCATTGGTCTAACTTATAACCCTTTCATATTTTTTGGTATAAACACCAATTTCTCCCTGTCTAGAACTCTCTATTGTAACATGAGATTCTTGGTCGGGCACACAGACACTAATTTAGTTATAAATCTGTGTGCTGTTGACTAGGGTTTCTTATTGGCTACCTTTCTCTCAATTATTATCCATTTCTATTAATCCATGTATTTCCATGTGATCTTATCTTACTGGGGAATGTTGGACCTGCAACTCCTTTGCCTGCTACATCATGACTGCTCAGCATTTCCACAAGGAAAATAAGAGAGCAATATCCTGTTTGTCCATGCTTATATCCTGATTCTTCCCAGCTACATCACTTCCTACCTGTCTGTATAGTCCTACAGACCTCTATGGTTAGCTAGTGCCAGTTTCTGCCCAGCTACGTCACTTTCTGGGATCACATGACGACTCCTCTCTTCCTATAGTTCCCAGAATCCTCCTTGTCTCCTAGTCCTACCTACTACCCTGCCTGGCCAACCAGTGTTTTATTAATCAACCAATAAGACAAACATATATACAGAAGAACAGCCCCCATCACTCTGTGACTTGCAAAATGAAGCTTTAATTCTCTCAGTGAAATGGTCAACCATAAATATCAGTTGTATTCTGCTCAACACTCTTTCTCAGTTACTCATAGTTGACAGTGGGAAGTCTGTTCTGATTTTGAAGTTCTGATTTTACATATCATGACTCTGTGATGAGATAAAATCAATATGAGTATTGCAACAAAGCAAAGAGGGAGTTGTGGCTTATTCTAAACTCCATATTTGACTTTTAATGACTAAGAAAAGAAGACCTTTACATTATGGAATATATAATGTAACTTACTTTAGTTGAGCATACACTGAAATCAGGGAAAATGGTCCATGTAAGTATTCTGTTTTTATGATTTCTCAGTGTTCCCCTTGAACATGATTTAGTTTTGTGGGAAGATGAAATTTGCTGAACACTTTTAGGTTCTCTATAGATTTTTTTCAAAATAAATATAATTTATTGAAGTTGGACAAGCCAAGCCAACAAAAAGCTAAAAGATCTCTAAGACATGGTACAAGAATCAGACACTCATTCAGGCACCAAGGAAGTCCAGAGAATCATAAAGGCATACTTTAGAAATTATACCATTCTGGAAACTCTACAGGAAATAGATAATGTTCTTTTTAGATACCATTGCCTTTAGGTTTTCTTTAAATTACTATTTTCTATAACATAGTAATTTTGTAAATGCCAGTCAAAATTTTTAATTAACTAGATCTTAAAATATATATTTAAGCAGTATCTATAGCACTAAAAGTCCTAAATTAATCATTTGTGATGGGTAGTTTTGTAAACTTGCCATAAACTAAAGACATCTAAGAAGAAGGAACCTCAACTAATAAATTGCTTCCATCAGATTGTCTTGTGGATATGTCTGTTGTGCATTTCCTTTATTAATGTTTGTGAGAGGGACTAACCCGTTATGAGTGGTGGCATCCATGGGCAGGTGGTTCTAAACTGTATAAGAAATCAAGATGAACAAGTGATACAAATAAATAGAATTTTTCTGTAGCTACTCTTCAATTTCTACCGCCAGGTTCCAGCAGTTAGTCTTGACTTTACTTCCTTTCTTGACTGACTGTAACCTTTAAGTAATTTAAGAGCTTTTCTCACTTAGCATTTTTTTTCAATGCTGTATCAAGGCAACAACAACCTAATGAAAACATCATCCTTAACAAGTTTCTGATCATTTACAATGTATATTTCCCAATGAAGAAATAGTTAAAGATGGAATCATGAAATTTATAAATAATTCAAGATATAAAGAATTTCAAAATATTAAAGTTACAACCTGTGTGGAATACTATTCATAGAAATTAGAGTGATTGGCTTGGACAGTTGTCTAAAAAGGAATGAAACGAAACATGGTCCTAGAAGGATTTTTAACCTATAGAAAGTTGTAGAAAATAATAGACCAGAAATACAACACTTCCAAAAGAGCAAAGTAAGAAGGTAAAATACTCAAAAAACCAAAAAAAGAATGTTTTAATCATAATTTTAATAAAATGCTCAAATATTTGGGTATGCTTTTATTTGCTCATGGGATTTCATTTTTGTTTTTTATTTAAATTAAAATAATCCTATTTTACATACCCATCTCATTTCCCTCTCCCTCCTGTCCTCTCATGCCCAACACCAACCCCCCATCCCATCCTACAACCAGTCCCCAGGGAGGATGAGGCCTCCCATAGGGGATCATCAAAGGATGTCACATCATTTGTGGCAGGGCCTAGGCACTCTCTCATGTGTCTAGGCTGAGCGAGTACCCCTCCATAGCAAATAGGCTCCCAAAGTTAGTGCACTAGGGTCAAATATTGGTTCCATAGACTACCCTGCTCTCCCAACTGACACCCATGTTCAGGGAGCCTGGTTTGGACCTATGCTGGTTCCCCAGTCTCACAGCTAAACACTTAGCTGAACTCCTGGAATCCAGTTGTAGAGAGGGAGGAGTGATGAGCAAAGAGGTCAAGGCCATGCTGGGGAAACCCACAAAAGCAGCTGACCTGAGCAAGTGGGAGAACACAGACATGAAGTTTCTTCATAGCTTTCTGGATGCGATAAGCATTCAGTTGAGAGCAAATATGGACCTCCCAATGGAGTATTAGCCAATCCAATGAATTGAATCCTTAATCAGAACATATGATTTACACACACACACACACACACACACACACACACACACACA